TTATAAACAATGCCAAATACCACCTAACCTGTGAATCAATCACTAACTAGGTATTTTGCACCGACAAATAAGGACAATGGAAATTAAGGTTGTGATATTAATTCTAATTAAAACACATGGCACATACTGTAGTATAGTATCACTATCCAAACACTATCTGGTAATATTCCTTCCGAAACAGTCGTTTCTTGCACCAATGATGTATGGAGTAATTGTATTAATTTCGGTGTAACTACAAAATATAATGTATTATAAAACATACCTCTATACCAAAATCACCGCAATTCCTTCCAGAGGCAGCATCAACTGCTAACAATCTGAGATCTAACGTAGGGACATAAATGCTACGTTTACACAATGCTCCACGTGGCTTTAGTGGATCCACCCATGTTGCAACACCTCGACATGTGTTTGCCCATCCGCCGATACTTAACATAAGACGCGACAGTAATCATGATAAAAGCCACGACATCAAAACGTGTGCTCAGCAAAAATATAACGAATAAATATCGTCGTCTTACCCGATCTTTATCTGATTATTACTTACTCGTACTAGAATTCCGTTTTTCTGCGCCGCAGAAAATAAAATTGAGAATTTTTGGTTTTTCAAAATATATCGCAGAATATTGTATTTTCGCGATATTTTCGCGATAGAATACGCCGTTCCCGGACGCCGTTCCCAAATATATACAGCATAATCTATATACAATTAGACTTTAAAGATACATTCTATGATGCAGGTTTATCAATTTTAGCCACATTAAACATAAAGTGAACTTGATATCAACTCACCTATGTATTGTGATTCCGTCATTGTTTCTCCAAACCTCTGTACCAGTTATAGGATCTAATGCAACGATTGCTCGCCAAGGAGTGCAAAATATCAATAGATCGTTTCCTAAGTTAGAAAAATATGAATAAGGCATATGTCCTGATAAAAACATTATCTAATATGAGGAAGAATTAAGTAAGAGTAATCATGTCTCATGTCTTTTTTTATGGTAGCTTGTCTCGATGAATACGTAAGCGTCTGATTCAGGAAAATATTACAAGTGAATCTATTTTAATAACTGCCTGGACTACTATTTCTTAAGTATTTTCGTTCCGTTTCGTGTATTTTGGCTAAGAATGCGACTACAATATGTACATACTGTTTAGATATCACCAAAATACTTGGGAGTTGGTAACTGACGTATTCTTGGAGGTTCATCATAAGCAAAGTATTCAGGTGTATAGGGACGGGGAGTGGAATGGGTTACAACATATATTTTTGTTTTTACATAAAACATATACCGTATATCGACCCGTCTTCTACCATAATCGGCGCTGTTTGTTCTTTAAGGACTTTATCAGCTTTATACCCCCAAGGACTCGGTCCATATCGGAATGTCCAAGCTATCGTTAGATCTTTGACATTGTTAACATTTATTTCATCCAATGGAGAGTAATGTGTTCCACCAACAGGGTTACCGTAATGCTCCCAATACTCTAGCAAAATGTATGGACGTTTTAGAAACAGTAAATGTCTTGGTATGTACAAACGACAATACATTGTTCACAAATCCTTTTAGTTTACATTTTATTTGAAAGTATTTTGGAAATCAAAACGGTCGATAGAACTTGAAGAGAACAACACGCTGATGCTACATACCGCTTACGTGAATGCAATCGTTCCACTTGAAGAAACCTTTTTGTTGTAAGATTAACTTGCCTTTGTTGTCTACCAATATATGAATGTATGCATCTGGTCTTTCTTTAGTAGACTTGACCTTGACCTTTTTCAAAAGTATTACTTCAAGATATAACAATAGGTTTTATTTCAATATATAACCTCTATATTATTATATTATATTATATCATATTTTATCCCATGATTAATGTGTTATCTGTACAATAACAGCTATTGATATTTCTGATATTATTGAAATCCGTGTGATATTTTCCAGAAAATCGTTTATCAAACTCATATGCGTGTGATATCGTTTATCTCACGCATATCCGTGTGATATCACATTTGCATTTCGCGCCACAATATTGTTGGAAATTAGGTCAGATAATTTATTCTCTTTTGAGAAAATAGGTCCGTTAATTTATTCTCTTTAAGTTTCATTGGTGTATTGAATTACGATTGTGTATATAATTCGATTAGAAGGCTGCTTAATAACGATTAAAATGGTATTTATGACGAACTATATCATGTACAGAAAGAAGTGCATATTACTGCGCAGTGAGTAAAGTACAAATCAAAATGGCCGGTGCAAATTCGTCTGACGAAGAATTGGCGAATTGTAATCATGGGATAAACCCAATATCACATAATTTCTCGTGATATCATTTTATCGCCTCGTAGATATCAAATATCAACACTCTTTCGCTTCGCTCACTCGTGTTGATATTTGATATCAACTCGGCGATAAAAATGATATCACTCAAAATGATGTGATATTCTGTATATATTATGTTATATTATATTGTATTGTATTGTATTTATTATTTATTATAGTGTCACGCCATAAAATATTACATAGTACTAAAACGATATTAAAAAACATTGGCCCTGCCGATGTCGGCATATGAGACACTTAACAACAATTCGATTAATAAGTTAATATAAGAATGTTCGACGTTTCATACAGAGTTTAATTACAGTCTTTGCTAGGGAACGTTGCAACAATTCACAATTCATAAGTAAGCAATACTGTTATATTATATTGCATGTTATATCATATTATATTATTTGAATCCATTTTACGGAAATGTGTTTAGATCATTGTAATTTAAAAAGAATCGTAAACACCTTTTTTGGAAGCATAATCCAAATATATGTCACCGACATTCTTGTATAATGTTTCTTCTAATAAAATTATAAAAATACAAATATATAATTATGATACAGCATGTTTGAAAACAAAGTGTTACCTTAATAGCTACTATGTCACCACTTTTGACAAACAATTTACATTCCATTTTCCAATCGGGCCATACCTCGCACGATATTCGTCTCTTACCTTATCATTGATAAACAAATATTAATAGTGATTTCTTTAAAGAAGTGTAAACAAAAGTATAGGTTTACAACCTGACATTTCAAATATCTTCAAAAACTACGAATTGCGGTAAAACTTCTGAGAGCCATCTTCATCAATGCTATCGATACCTGTTTCAATTAATCTGTAATGAAAGATGAATAAACTCAAAGAAATAAGTATACTATGGTATATAGTAACTTACAGATTTACATTTATCCAACATTTCATTGTTATCGTCCATAAGATAGTGATTATTTCCATTACATTTTCTCTTCATCTGTCTTATGAATAATGTGGCATTTCCTGCGTAGCAAGATGCGAAACATGATAGCATAAGAAAGACGATTATACACATTCCCATAAGTCTAATGCTGCAAAAAGAGACAAATGATATCGTCATACAAAATTCAAAGTCACTTCATGAGCCTACATACTTTCACATTTTAGTAATTTTCTCGGTATGCTTGTTTAAGACTTATATATTGATTCTATAGCAATTAAAAGTCATTTGCCATGTCTTATTTCACTTTTTCATAGGAATGAAAGATCTACCTACCTGTCTAAATTCCAAAATCAAAATGAAATACTTAATGTAAGACTAGTGTAAGAATGATACGTAATTATCATAAGTATTATCAGTCTTCATTTCTCATAAAGGGAGGAGTTAACTATGTAAGAAATGATGCAAACAAATTATGTGCAAACTCGATTACGTGTAAATTAATGTGGTGTTGCGCAAGGGCATGTTAAAAAAGTAAGTTTGGATCATTTGAGTTGAGTGCTTCGACCTATTTAGTTGTACACGCAGACCCTTGATTCTATCATTCTTTATATTTACACATATTTAGATTTGTATTAAAATATGATATTATAAGATTTTAAAGAAGTAGTAATAAATCCTCCAACTCAATTGTCAGGGCAAACATGGACGTCAAATAAAAAATAAACATAACACCATTCAACAATAAAGCAATATACAGATTGATCCAGATTAATATAAAGATGATGTGGCCATTTCTCAAACATTATTGACTACGTACCTCAAGAGTAAATATTTGACTATATGATTGATCAATTTTGTGGTGACTATTGTTACCCTGATGTGACGAATATTTATAATAATCCAATATACTCTTCAGTTGATGTAGCAACATTTATGATGTCACGCAGATTACTTTAGTGACTTGTTTTGCTTTATGAAAAAGTGTTCAGCCAAGAATCTCTTCAAAATACACGACTGGGACAGATGAACGGTCTCCAATGGCGCAGCGTGGCTATTTTGTGAATGTACGCCACGAGTGAACGAAACGAACGAGCTTTGAGGGGGTCAGGGGGATTGTCCCCCAAGGAAATTTGAAATTGAGATTGCATTTGAAGCGTTCCAAGTCAAGCATTCATATATTACTAAATCATCGATTGATATTTGTCGTCAATCCAAGGAGGATTGGCTCCCAGAGTGCACCACCGATAT